GCCTGGGCCAAGACCCCAGTTTTTCCCCCAGGGAGGTTCTGTTTCCATTCAGATTGTGCAGCCAATAACAAAACCAACGCTGAGGCTGGAACAGCACAAGCTTTATTCAGTGGTTAAAGAATGGAGAAGTGGGAACCTAGTTCATTAGTCAACTTCTCAACCCAAGTTGGGCGGGTTGTATAGGAGGGTCAAGGTAAAAGGGAGGGAATTGGAAACAGTGGGAGGAGTATTCATGAGTTATATGAGAACAGCGGTGTGATTTGAACCCAGAACTGATGCAGCTCTCCTTTTCAGTCCTTGTACATGCTTTTCCGGTTGTTGTCATGGCAGTCGTCAACTGTCATGGTGCTGGTGAGGGTGGCATTTAGCTAACTTGTTACAATGAGCGTATAATGAGGCCCAAGGTCTAGTGGAAGTCACATCTTCCTCCATCTTGGGCCTACTTGGTTCTAACCAGTTCTTGTTTTTTTCTTTCAGCTTCGTCCTGAAACTTAGATGAGTTTCTATTGGTTTCTATTCAAGGGAGGGGAAGGGGTATGATTCTGGGGCGACAGCCTTGGTAACAGAATGAATGAATAACACTTGTTCACAGAGGCTACCACCTGTCTTTGGCCGGCAGCAAGTGTGCCTGAGAAGGAAGGCTGAGCCCTTGCATCTTGGTATCTGCTGTGCTTGTTTAGCGCACTACCTGAGCCACTGTGCTGGTGCAGTGTTCACTGAGTGAATAAAAAGGCAAAATACTAAGAATAATAAAGCAGGTGAGGAAGGAAGAAGAGTGAGGGAAGGAAAAAATAAAAAGAATCACCCTACAGTTTGTTATGAGGCAAAGCCATAGTCTTGTTTTTAAAATATTCTATGCAGATTGTTGTTGGAATAAAGTTGTATATTCCATTGCCTATTGGTTTCATGGCAGGTAAGGTTACTGGAAAGCCTAGAAATCCTGAAAGGTAGATGCACCCTGTGTGGTTTGCTTCTTGTTGATTAGCTAATGATAGAATTGTTTGTTTTTTTCACATCTTTATTGGAGTATAAATGCTTTACAATGTTGTGTTAGTTTCTGCTGTACAACAAAGTGAATCAGCTATGTGTATACATATATCCCCATATCCCCTCCCTTTTTCCTCTCCCTCCCACCCTCGCTGTCCCACCCCTCTAGGTGGTCACAAAGCATCGAGTTGATCTCCTTGTGCTATGCAGCTGCTTTCCACTAGCTATCTATTTTATGTTTGGTTGTGTATATATGTCAGTGCTACTCTTTCACTTCATCCCAGCTTCCCCTTCCCCACCCCCTGTGCCCTCAAGTCTGTTCTCTATGTCTGCGTCTTTATTCCTGCCCTGCCACTAGGTTCATCAGTACCGCTTTTTAAAATTCCATATATGTGCATTAGCATACAGTATTTGTTTTTCTCTTTCTGGCTTGCTTCACTCTCTGACAGATTCTAGGTCCATCCACCTCACTACAAATAACTCAATTTCGTTTCTTTTTATGGCTGAGTAATATCCCACTGTATATATGTGCCACATCTTTATCCATTCATCTGTTGATGGACACTTCGGTTGCTTCTATGTCCTGGCTATTGTAAATAGAGCTGCAATGAACATTGTGGTACATGACTTTTTGAATTATGGTTTTCTCAGGGTATATGCTCAGTAGTGGGATTGCTGGGTCATATGATAGTTCTGTTTTTAGTTTTTTAAGGAACCTCCATACTGTTCTCCATAGTGGCTGTATCAATTTATATTCCCACCAACAGTGCAAGAGGGTTCCCTTTTCTCCACATCCTCTCCAGCATTTATTTATAGATTTTTTGATGATGGCCATTCTGACTGGTGTGAGGTGATACCTCATTGTAGTTTTGACTTGCATTTTTGTGGTTTTGATTTGCATCATTGTGGCTTTGATTTGCATTTCTCTAATGGTTAGTGATGTTGAGCATCATTTCATGTATTTGTTGGCCATCTGTATGTCTTCTTTGGTAATGATAGAATTCTTTAGCTAATGTTAGAAATAGCAGGTGGAGGAATTCCCTGGTGGTCCAGTGGTTAGGACTCCACACTTGCATTCCGAGGGCCCGGGTTTGAACCCTGGTTGGGGAACCAAGATCCCGCAAGCTGTGGGGTATGGCCACAAAAAGAAAAAAGGAAGAAGTAGCAGATGGGAGGTTGAACTTTTTTTTTTTAGTCTTTTTTTTTTTTTGCGGTACGCGGGCCTCTCACTGTTGTGGCCTCTCCCGTTGCGGAGCACAGGCTCCGGACCCGCAGGCTCAGCGGCCATGCCTCACGGGCCCAGCTGCTCTGCAGCTTGTGGGATTTTCCCAGACCCGGGCACGAACCTGTGTCCCCTGCATCAGCAGGCGGACTCTCAACCACTGCACCACCAAGGAAGCCCTATCTTACTTTTTTTTTTTCCCCCTCTCCTTCCTCCCTCCCTATCTTACTTTTGAAGAACCATGCAAATTACTGGTTTTGTCATTGGGAAAAAAAAAAAAAAAGCTAAGGTCTGTTGCCTTTGCAATATTTCAGTTGTATCCAGAATTCAGGGATAAAAAACTCACCCCTTCTGCTCACTCTCTCTGCTACATTTTCACCTACTTTCATCTTTCTGCTTTTGTTTTGTATCTTACTACTCTCCCGTCATTAAGAAACTTTTTTAAATAGTGTTAATAGGTAAAATTTTGCATTAAGTTTGTCTTACTATATTGGTATAGTTCCAGATTTTTCTTAGCCCAGGATCCCCCCAGCCACTTTTTCAAAAAAGCTAACTAAAGCAAAAGCACAAGTATGTCCTTGTGGGAGAATACTGTGAAACCATTCATGTAATAAAGTTTATGTTAGAATTTCACTCACTTTAAATCCCGGCCATCTTCTGTGAATGAGTCTGTCATTCATTACAGAGTGCATCTGAAATCAACCAAAGTTATTTTCAGCATTTAAGAAAACTTTACTGCTGTGTGTGCTGGGCACTGTGCTAGGGCTGGAGATTCAATTGCAAATACTCTAGCCAGATTTCTTATCTAAACAGTCAAGAAGGATTGGCAAGCTTTTTGAATGGGGCAGATAATAAATATTTTTGGCTTGAGGGTCATCAGATATTCTGTCACAGCTTATGGACCATGCCATCAGGTGAAATTTGCCCAACATCTTACCTAGTCTAGAGGATAAGGGGAGAGGAATGGAATTCAAAGATCAAAACAATTTAGCTGGAATAAATTTATTTTCTTGCACTTAATAAAGGGTTTTAGGTTAACTTACTTACTTGGATTAAATACTGATAGAAGAAATTTTTCCCCCCAATTTTTCATTTTACTGGCATATTCCAAAGCAGCATTACGAGACTGGCCTGAAAATTACAGTTAATATGTTATCCTTAATGCCTTATACTTCATTGTAATGTGAGCTTTCTGGTTGTTTGGAAATAAATAACATTTTTATGTTATTTGGCAGCCTGAATGGGAGGGGAGTTTGGGAGAGAACGGATACATGCATATGTGTGGCTGAGTCCCTCTACTGTGCACCTGAAACTATCACAACATTGTTAATCGGCTATACTCCAAGACAAAAAGTTAAACAAACAAATAAATAAATAAATAACATTTTTAGCCTAAATGTTTTTCTAAAAATAACTATCATTCATAATATATCAAATGACTAAAGCAGCTATAAAGCAGTGAATTAATCCGAAGTAATTAGATTATTTGAAAAATAATGATCAGAGCTGGTGATACGAAGTGAAATTCTGTATTTGATTTTGGGGGGGAAATGACTACTTTTGTGTATAGAAAGAAGTGGAGTCTGATATTCCTTAGAACCTATTAACAGCTTGAACTTGTCCTTGGTTAGTTTTGTTTTTAAGTGGTCTAAAAGCTCCTTCCCCTGTGGTTTTTGTCAGTATTCTACCGCTATTGTATAGTTAGTGGTGCTATTGTCTATGATCCGGATGCTTACGTGTTGGCCATTTGTAATAGGCAAGGCGGCTGTGGAGAGCTGGTGAAATGGGGCTGTGTGAAGTTGTTTCCTATTACTCTTATTTATCTTTCTTTGAATAAGGGGTCCTTTGTTCACTGTTTCCTCAATACAGAATAGAGGATTCATATCTTAGTGTTCAATCTCTACTTCTGTTTTCAACGAAGAAAACATTTGCTTCACTCTGCTTGCTGCCTGTCCCCTACGATGCACCCAGAGGGTTTTGGAAGGCTTCTGCCAAGAATTCTTTGGGGGAGCTGGAGTATAACCATCCCAAGAGCTGCAGTTCTTAATGACATTCTTTTTAGTTTAACAAGTCATTGTGAGTGTTGCTGTTTTCATTCTAAGACCCCTCTTCTTTCTCGAAGGATCCACATGGGTTCTATGGTGGGGGTGAAGAAGAGATATGTTCTTTTAGCGTCATTTAACTCCATCTACTCTCTGGTCCCTGTTTCTAAATGCCACTGAATTTTGGTTCTGATATTTGTTCAGCAGTATACATTACAGAGTTTTTTTTTTTTTTTTTGCTGTGCCCTGCGGCTTCTGGATCTTAGCTCCCTGACCTAACCACTGGACCACCAGGGAATTCCCTACATTGAAGAGATTTTAAACAACAGTCCAAATTCTGAATGCAGGCATGATTTGCTTCTCTCACACAGTGTTGTTAAGTTTCTGCGTTAGTTGCCAACATTTAAAAGTCAAGCGAGGGCTTCCCTGGTGGCGCAGTGGTTGAGAGTCCGCCTGCCGGTGCAGGGGACACGGGTTCGTGCCCAGGACCGGGAAGATCCCACATACCGCGGAGCGGCTGGGCCTGTGAGCCATGGCCGCTGAGCCTGCGCGTCCCGAGCCTGTGCTCCGCAATGGGAGAGGCCACAACAGTGAGAGGCCCGCGTACCGCAAAAAATAAAAAAAAAAGTCAAACGATTTCACTTTCTAACGGCCAGTGACTTAAATCGTATCTGTCTTTTTACCCTCTGTCTCATCTAGCCGTGGATGTTCAGTTACTTTTCTTTAATGTTGCTGATTTTCTTCCCCAGGCTAAAGATCTAATAATCACACCAGCCACCGTTTTAAAGGAAAAACCAGACCCCAATACTCTGGTTTTTGGAACGGTTTTTACGGATCACATGTTAACAGTGGAGTGGTCCTCGGAGTTTGGATGGGAGAAACCACACATCAAGCCTCTTCAAAACCTGTCATTGCATCCAGGTTCGTCGGCTTTCCACTACGCAGTGGAAGTAAGTACTTGGGAATTAATGATGGCGACGTGCTTGGTCTTCACTGGGGTTCCTAAGTAGCTCCCCCGCTCAAATAGCTTTAGGGCAGCAGGGCTTTACCATATTAACTAGAGGCAATCATAAATGGCCTGTAAACAGTTGTATTGAGGGTAAGTCTTAAGAACTAAATTTTCAGATAATCTTGAATTTTTTAAAATCTCAATTAAAAAATCATGTAGGTGGTAAGCACACTGTAGGGTATACAGAAATAAAAATATAATGTGCATATAATGTGCACATGAACTTGTAACATCGGCTTATAATATTATTTAAAAACTTATTTAGAGCAAATAGGAATGACAGTTGGCAAAAAAATTAGCAACCAAAAAGCCTGTACTGTTAATATTTCACTAAATCACCTTTCTTAGATTTTCTAATGATTGAGGAGGGGTCATTGAGTACAATATTATGTTTAATTTTAATGCTAACTGCATGGTTTTATGACAGCAATAACTTGTAGTTAGGCATGTTAAGGGACATGTAATTAAATGTCATCCTTCAGGCACGAGTGGGATAATTATAAGCATAAAATATTAAATAGAGGGTGCTTCTCGGGTCCTTCTCAGGATACACACTTAGCCAAATACACAGTACACTCCCCATTCCCTTGACCCCAGTATATTTTACTCTTTTTTAATGTGTTAAATATCTTTCCTAGAATATTGGGGTATAGAAATGAAGCAATGGCCTACTTACTAGGAGACTAAAAGGTGGTAATAGTAAATATTCAGAATGATAATGATAAAATAACTACATTTGTTTATTGAAATCCTACAATATGCCCTGTACCTAGGTATCTTATACGGGTCATTTCATTTAATTGTTTTAAGTGAAAAAAGCATATGGTTAATTATTCAGGTTCTGGAGTCAAGCTTCCTGGGCTCAAAGCCTGTCTGTGGTTATATTATTTTAATCCAAAAGTGAATGTACAAATAATCTCCTTGGATATCTTTCTCCTCCACTCATCAGCCCTACTGATTTTAGAATCCTATCGATTTTATTTTTAGAGCTACAATTACATGTGGTTTTGTTGATTTCAAAAGTATTTTTTGATAAATATGTGAAGATTTCAAAAAGTGAAGGAGAGACATGTGAAGTGTGAGTAGGGAACCTGGATGAAAGAAAATGCAATTTTATTACAGTTACTTCATTTTTCAGGTTGAGATTAATATTTAGTGAGATAAAACGTAATTTGAAAAAATGGACAACATGTACTATTTAATGAATACTTATAAATGAGTGCCCACGTAGCTACCACCCGAGTAAGGAAATAGACCTAGACCCTTTGAGCATCCCAGAAGCCTTCTCGTGTCTCTTCCAGATCATAAACCCTGTACCTTCTGGCACTCGTTATTCTTACTTTTGTGGTAACTTTTCTTTGCTTTTCTTTTTGGATTGTATGTACCTCTAACATGATGGTTTTGCTTCTTTCTGAACTTTGCATAAGTGGAATTATAGTGTGCGTGCATGTGTGTGTGTGTGCGCGCGTGTGCGTGTGTGCGTGCGCCCGTGAACCTATTTGAGCTCAGTGTTACGTGAGCTCTAAGCATCCAGGACCAACCCTAATATCTGTGGGTCCTGGGACAAGTGTACAAGCAGAGCCACCCCAAAGTCCACCCTCTATCTCTTTCTGTCCTGGCTCCATCCTGTACCACAGGGGGCCTTGCACACACGTAGATGGCCACACCACCTGCAAACGGTGACCCTTGGCCATCTTTGGACTTAGATGTGGACATCCTAGTAGTCCTGTCTGTTCTTTAGAGGATGAAACCAAGGAGGCCCATTGAGGCCCTGAAAATAGGATCAGGGCCATTTGGGTAGGGAATTCTAGGGAACTGAGTACTTGGAGTCTGTCTAGAAAAAGGATTCAGCCAACTACTTGCTCCAAGGGGGTCACAGCTGGAGAAAGACAGGGGTGAGAGGCCCTCTAAAGTGTGAGGCCCAGGGCAGAGGCCCAGGTTATCTGGGTCAAAGAGTGATAGGTACCACATCATATGCTCCTTGAAGCAATAGTTATGTGAATATATTCAGTCTATTGTTGACGTGCACTTGTGTGGTTTCCTTTTCTGTGAACATTCTTGTATATAGTATGCTGGTGTGCTTGTATACATGTTTCTTTAAATCAGCAGTTCTCAAAGTGTGGTCCACAGACCCCTGGGCTCCCCTTTCAAGAGATCCCGTGTCCCGTGCATCGGCAGGCGGACTCGAAACCACTGTGCCACCAGGGAAGCCCTATGATGACTTTTTGATGTGTTAATTTGCTTATTCTGAACCACAGTCCCCAGAATAACATTTTTCGTCTCCTGCTGGGGATGGACTACAAGGACATTCTCTTGTGAGCACTGAAGAACATAGGAAGACAGTGGCGGTTTTGTTGCATACACACGCCGCCTTCTAGTTATTCAGTCACACACTAATTTAGGTGCTGTTTGAAGGAATTTTGCAGATGGGGTTGAAGTCCCTAATTAGTTGATTTGAAGTTGATCAAAAGGGAGATTATTCTGGGTGAGCCTGACCTCAGGACTTCCATGCAGCAGCTAGGCCTACACATGCACTCAATCTCTTCCGCTGTCCCTCCTTCCTGACTCACTTGCAGATGGGCTGCAGCCCACACCTCCTGGGTCCAGCCTGCTTGTGATCTTCTCATTCTCACAGACTGTCCTACAGATTTTGGACTTTGCTTAGCCAGCCTCCACAAATGCGTTGGGCAGTTTCTTCTAATAAATCTGTAAATGTCATACGTATTTCTTTTCTTTTTTCATTTTTTTAAAAATAAATTTATTTATTTTTGGCTGCGTTGGGTCTTCGTTGCTGTGCATGGGCTTTCTCTAGTTGCAGAGAGCGGGAGCTGCTCTTTGTTGCGGTTCACGGGCTTCTCATTGCTAAGCATGGGCTCTGGGCGCGCAGGCTTCAGTATTTGTGACACACGGGCTCAGTAGTTGTGGCTCACGGGCTCCAGAGCACAGGCTCAGTAGTTGTGGCGCACGGGCTTAGTTGCTCCGCGGCACGTGGGATCTTCCCAGACCAGGGGTCGAACCCGTGTCCCCCACGTTGGCAGGCGGATTCTTAACCACTGCGCCACCAGGGAAGTCCCTGTTTTGTGTTTTTCTACCGGTTCTCTTTCTTCTCAGTTGAACTCTGACTGACAGACCATTGAGTTTTAAGGAATTAACAGAGTATGAAAACCTCATTGATGGGGTTTGATTCCACAGTGTAACTAACCTTTAAGGGACTGCCACTTGTCAAGTTTTGGAGGAGTATCAGAGAAGAATATCCACAATTATCTGAAAAGGTTATCAAAAATACCTCCTTTCTCAACCACATATCTATGTGAGACTGGATTTCCTTTGTGTGCTTCAACCAAAACAACATTGCAAGAGCTTGAATGCGAAAGCAGATATGAGAATGCAGTTGTCTTTTGTTAAGCCAAATATTAAAGATGTGCAATAATTTAAAACAATGCCACACTTAACATTAATTCTCTTGGAAAGTATAGATAATTTTAATGAAAATATTTTAACATTTACTATTTAACATAGTTTGTTGTTAATAAATAAATAAATTTTAAATTTCTCACTACTGATAATGGTAAATATTGATAGAATTACCTTATAAATAAAAGCTCTTTGGGACCTTTATAATTTTTAAGAGTGTAAAGACATCCTGACACCAAAAAATTTGAGAAATGCTGCTTAAGGGTCTAGGAATATGCTGCTGGTATTGGATATTAACTTCATTTTTACACAAAAAGGGTAACTATTTTCCATAGTGATTTTACCAGTTTTTAGACCCACCAGCCATGAATTAGCAGCCACATTCAACCGTGACTCATCAACCTTGCCAACTCTGAGTATAACCTGATTTTAAATTTTTAGCCAGTTTAATGCAATGGCATATTATTGTGGTGTTTATTTCAATGGATATCTCTTTATTGGAAGTCCCTGCTTGTTTCCATCTTTTACTCACTATTGTGTTCCCTTTCTTTTTTTTTTTTTCTTCTTTTTTTTTTTTTTTTTCCTTGCGTTATGCGGGCCTCTCACTGTTGTGGCCTCTCCCATTTGCGGAGCACAGGCTCCGGACGCGCAGGCTCAGCGGCCATGGCTCACGGGCCCAGCCGCTCCGCGGCATGTGGGATCTTCCCGAAACGGGGCACGAACCCGCGTCTCCTGCATCGGCAGGCGGACTCTCAAGCACTGCGCCACCAGGGAAGCCCTGTTCCCTTTCTTTTTGATCTGTAGCAGTACTTTATATATTTTAGATATGGGTCCTTTATCAGTTATATGTGTTTTAAGCATCTTTTTTAACACTTTTTATTCTTTCCAGAATTTTTTGATGACCAGAAATACATTTAAATTTTAAAAAGTTGAATTTATCAATCTTTGCTTTATATCTGGTCCTTTTGTGTCTTGCTTAAAGACTCTTTTTCTATTCCTAGATTATGAAAACATCTTCCTATATTATTGATTTTTGTCCTTCACAGTTAGGGCTTTAATTTCAGAAGTCGATTTTTGTATGAAGTAGGGGTCCAATTTTTTTTTTCCCCTACAGATACCCAATTGTCCCAGAACCATTAAAAAGACTGTTCTTTTCCTCCTGATACATTATGTCACATCTTAACATATACGCATGCGTCAGCTTCTCGATCTCCACTTGCATTCCATTGTCTTGTCTATCTGGATCTCTATTCTGTTTCATCATTTTGCTTGTCTATCTGGACAAATGCCACACTGTCTTTATCTCCAAATCATTATAATGAGTCTGGATGTCTGCTAGGACAAATCCTTCTATTTCTTCAAGAGTGCCTTGGATATTTCTTGGTCATTTGCTTTTCCATATTACTTTTAGATTCAGTTTATCATGTCAGTCAACTTTTGTCATTCAGTTTGTTACAAGAAAAATAAACGCCCTGACATGATTTTCGTTTGGATTGTATTAAATATATAAATCAATTTGGAGAGAGTCTTTATAATATTGAATCAATCTATGAGTGGCGGGTTGCTTTCTACATTTAGTTATGTCTTTAATGACTTGGTAAAGTTTTATAGTTTCTTTATGGGTCTTTCACTTATGTTAGATTTTCCCCACTTAAGTATTCCTTTTAATTCTACCGTAAATAGTGTTTTTATTTTCTAACTGCTGCTTACATGGGAATATAATTTTGTATCTGGTTACCTTGCCTAAACAGATAATTTCAAAAGATTATATCAGTTTTTGTGTATTTTCTACGTTTAATCTTCTCTGTGTTGCATGATCTATGACAGTTTTATTTTTTCTTCTCCTAACTTTATGCTTTTTATTTTATTATTATTATATTAGTAGTACAGTATTGAATTAAAGTAGTCGCAGCAGGCAGTATGTGATGTTCTCAATCTGAAAGGAAAGCTTTAAATTTTACCATTTTAATAGATAAACAACAAGGACCTACTATATAGCACAGGGAACTATTATCTTGTAATAATCTATAATGGAAAAACATCTGAGAAAGAATATATAATGTGTATATATATATATATATATATATATATATATATAAAACTGAATCACTTTGCTGTACACCTGAAACTAGCACAACATTGTAAATCAACTATAGTTCAATTAAAAACAATTTGACCATTTTAAATATAACGTTTGCTACAAGTTTATTTCTCACATAAGGAAGATTCCTTTTTTTCTTAGTTATCCAGGAAACTTTTAAAAATCATAAACGAATGTTCAGTTTTATCAGATGCATTTATTACAATGAGATGATCATATAGTTTCTTCCACATAAATTCTTAATATAATGAATCTCATTACTGTATTTTCTAATGTTAAACCCAACTTCTGTTACTGGGATAAATCCAGCTTAGTTAGGCTGTGTTATCCTTTGTGTATTTTGCATCTGTATTTTTCAAGTGAGATTATCATACAGTCTTTGCATAAATTTGAACCTATATCAAATGTGTATAATTTTTAAACCGGGAAGTAAATTGAACTCTACGAAGTTACCTTCTTTATCTCCAGTAAAGCTTCTTGCCTGAAAGTCTATTTTGTTTTACATTTAGCAATATAGCCTCACGAGCTTTATTTTAAAAAGTATTTGTACGATATATTGCTCTCTGTGCTTTTTTGGGTTTCAGCTGTTAGCTGAGTTAATCTGACAACCATATCTTTTAACTAAGGCTTTAGTCCTACTACATTTAAAAAATTACCCATATATTTGCACTTCAACAAAACATCTCATTTTTTGCTTTTTAATTGTGCTCCAGGATTTATATTTCTTTTCTCATGTAAGCTTTAAGGCTGTAAGCATCTAAAGGCCCTCCTTTTCATTCTCATTCAGTTCAACATATTTTCTAATTTCCATCATTTTTCTTCTTTGACTCACACTTAATATTAAGTAATGGGTTTCTTCTTCTCCAAAATGTGGATATCTTGGGGTTATAGTTTTGGTTTTTTGATACCTAGCTTATCTTAAGGTCAGAAAACATGTGAAAAGAACATGCCTTCTACAGGTGGTGTGCGCAGGGCTCTGTGTGTCCATTAGGTTAGTTTGTTGTTCTTGTTCAAATTGTCCATATCTTTACCATGTTTTAGCCTATTTGTTCTATCAATTACTTAGAGAACCTGTGGTAAAAATTTCCCTTTTTTTTTTTAAATTTTAATTTTATTGCAGTGTAGTTGATTTACAGTGTTATGTTAGTTTCAGGTGTACAACAAAGTGATTCAGTTACACATATACATACATTCATCCTGTTTTAGATTCTTTTCTTATATAGGTTATCACAGAAAAAAAATTCCCTTTAAAATGATTGATTTTCCTCTTTTCTCTGTATTTAGTGTCAATATGCACTAAATTCAAAGTCTTTTCATGTCCCTGCCCATGTTTGTCTGCGGCAGCTCCCTGAGAAGGTGGCATCGCCCTAACATAGTGTAGTCTTGAGCTGCTTGGTTTCTGTGATTTGGGAGACTGAACCAGCTCTGGTCACATCTAGATTATCCACTCTCCAGAGTTCATATGAGCCAGATAAAATGAAAAGGGTGTTTGGGGGTGGATTGGGGGCCGAGTACTATGGGGCCTTTGATTCCATTTCTGTTTTCTAGGCAGTCAGTCAGTTCATCTTGTGTGGAGATGTTTTCTTCCAGCCTCCACTGATGTGTGTTAACATTTGGCTCCTGTTAAGCAAAAAAAGAGGATAGCTCTGAATTCCCACCAGATCTTGGTAATAAAGGGACTTCTTATTATCCCAGTGACTGTAACCAGTCTGTCTGGCTTTTCTAGATTTAGGGTCTGTGTCAGTAGCTTTACACGGTAAAGGAGATGAGGGCCCATAGAAAAGTCAGTCTTTTGAACACAGGGATTGTTTTCATTTAGTTACGTTGTAACATTTATTTCTCTTTTATCTTCAGTTATTTGAAGGATTGAAGGCATTTCGGGGAGTAGATAATAAAATTCGTCTGTTTCGGCCAAGCCTCAACATGGATAGAATGTACCGGTCTGCTATGAGGGCGACTTTGCCGGTATGTATATTTAGGAGTTTCTCTTGTGTTTCTCTTGCTGTAATGGGTCACTGAATTCCACCAGACAAACCATTTCTGAATACTTAGATCAGTATTTGGTATAAACCATATGAGCACTGAATTTCTTTCTGATCTGTTTTTTAATCAGTGAGTTAAAAATACAAGGAAATAATCATTTGGCAACTCCACAATCTGTTTCTTTATGAGTGTCTGTGGGAGATAACGGGATAAGGAAGAAAAATATGCCTCAAACTGAAATAATAAAATGTAAAGACCATATGAAATTATGATATGAAAATATGGTGTACTGCACAGATACATGTGGGATGTTTTGCCTAACTGCTTAAGACACTAGCAAGTATGCACTGACTTAAATAGTTTTTTTTGATATTTTAGCCCAAGTTTTATTTAAAGAAAAAAAAAAAGGATATATAAAACAGTTTCTCATGGCCACTGGGTCCTGGCTATAACATTGTTTTTTATGGAGCAGAATTCATTCTAAGGTGGGTTGGATTTAGACCCTAAGGTTCATGTCTAGGTAGGAGGTGACTTAGATTTACTTTCATTCCCTGAGACTTGACCAGGCTGTCTTTCTGAACTGAAAGAAGTCTTTACCCCCTTTGACATACTTTGTTTGTCCCTAACCTTCAGCTGTGCATTGAAGAAGCCCAAGTGATGACTCCTTTTTAGCCAGGCTCTTCCTTCTGCTTTTTTGTTTTTTTTTTTTTTTTCGGTAAGTGGGCCTCTCACTGCTGTGGCCTCTCCCGTTGCGGAGCACAGGCTCCGGACGCGCAGGCTCAGCGGCCATGGCTCGCGGGCCCAGCCGCTCCGCAGCATGTGGGATCTTCCCGGACCGGGGCATGAACCCGTGTCCCCTGCATTGGCAGGCGGACTCTCAACCACTGCGCCACCAGGGAAGCCCTTCCTTCTTCCTTTTATAACACATGCTTTACCGACCTTCAGAGGCCATAATATAGTAGCAGAAGGGAAATTCAGGAAATTTCTTTGGACTCCGTCCTAGTTCCACTCTTTACCCATTACAGACAAATCATTGGGAAATCCTTTAAAATGAGGACAGAAGGAAAGGGAAGTAACATTTATTGGATAGCAACTGCCACAAACTGTGTTATGTGGTTTTACATTCCTAGGTTTTACATTCCTAATCATAACAGTAAGCTATCGTCAAGAAGGTATGTATTGTAAGTTTTAGCAGCACCTTTGTACAGAGAAAACTCAAGCCCACAGAGGTTCAATGACTTAATGACTTGCCTAAGATGACACAGACTAATGGGTCAGGGCAAGAGCTTCACTAGGGATGTGAGTTTGTTTTGTTTTGTTTTTTTTGTTTTTTGGCGGTACGCGGGCCTCTCACTGTTGCAGCCTCTCCTGTTGCGGAGCACAGGCTCGGGACGCGTAGGCCCAGCGGCCATGGCTCACGGGCCCAGCCGCTCCGCAGCATGTGGGATCTTCCTGGACCGGGGCACGAACCCGTGTCCCCTGCATCGGCAGGCGGACTCTCAACCACTGCGCCACCAGGGAAGCCCGGGATGTAAGGTTTTAAATCCCTAGTGAAGTTCTTTCCACTAAATCTTACATCTAGACAGCAGTATCAGAGATCCCGTGCTTGATACAGGGAGATGGTATGTCCTATATGATTGACAATCCCGATTTCTATAACATTACCACACTGTGATTGCTGTTTTAAGTTAGTATTTAAATAGCCAAATCCTGATGTCATGAGCTCTATTCATGTGTGTTTCTGACTCATTTCTACCTTGGATAACCCATAGCATCTCTGAAAGTATGTTTCTTTGCCCTGCCAAGTGAATAGAAACTACTTATTTTACAAACTGTCACCCATCTAGTATATAAAACCCTTTTTCGCCTTAGAAGTAAACTACTCTTTGCTTTTGCCCATTTTCCTGTTGGGTCATCTGTCTCTTTCTTACTGATTTTCAGGTTATCTTAACATTTTCCTGTTACGATCCTTTGTTGGTTATGTTACAAATAACTTCACCCAGTGTGTCACTTATGTCGTTTGAAGAACAGAAGTTCTTAAGTTTTAAATAGTCAAATTTTGTCCATTTTTTTCTTTATGATTTATGCTTTGTGTCTTTTACTTAAGAATTCTACTTTAAGGTGTCAGATATTTTGTATGCTTTTTTATAGAAGTCTTAATGTTTTCTCACATTTAAGTGTATAATCCAACTACAGTTGGTATTTGGGTATGGTAAGAGGTAGGGAACCACTTTTTTATCTTCCTCATGTGGATAATCTCTCATTCCATCACAGTTTGGGGAAAAGTCACAGAAAATAGAATTCTTGTTTGGGTTTATTATTATTACTTTAAAACATTTATTTATTTACTTATTATTATTTAATAAATTTATTATTTATTTTTATTTTTGGCTGCATTGGGTCTTCATTGCTGCACATGGGCTTTCTCTAGTTGCGGCAAGCGGGGGCTGCTCTTCGTTGTAGTGCGCAGGCTTCTCATCACGGTGGCTTCTCTTGTTGCGGAGCACGGGCTCTAGGCGTGTGGGCTCAGTAGTTGTGGCTTGCAGGCTCTAGAGCACAGGCTCAGTTGTGGTGCACGGGCTTAGTTGCTCCACGGCATGTGGGATCTTCCCGGACCAGGGCTCGAACCCATGTCCCCTGCATTGGCAGGCGGATTCTTAACCACTGCGCCACCAGGGAAGCCCCTTATTATTATTTTATAATTAAAAAAATTTTTTTGGCCGCACTGCGTGGCCTTGTGGGATCTTAGTTCCTCAACCAGCATTGAAAAAGGGCCACTGCACTGAAAACACCGAGTCCTAACCACTGGACCACCAGGGAATTCCCTATTATTACTTTTTTAATAGTTCTTTCATGAGGATCATTTCTTACTGCTACAGTGGAAGAACATTGCATTATTCATTATGTTTTTCATTCCTTCAGGCATTTGACAAGGAAGAGCTTTTAGAGTGTATTCAGCAGCTTGTGAAATTGGATCAAGAATGGGTCCCCTACTCAACATCTGCAAGTCTGTATATTCGTCCTACATTCATTGGAACTGAGGTGCAGACTGACTTCCTGTTTTGGGGTTCTTTGCTGGTCGAGTAGGTCTGGATGGTGATTCTGATGCCTGCCCAAATTTAAGAACCTCAGTGATAAAAATCCTGCCAAGCAGTCCTCTCCCACTGCACTCTATCAACTTACATGTTTGATCATGCTTTGGACCTAAGAATCAAGAATTTTTTTAAATCTGCTTTCCAAGAATTGAAAGCAATAACTGATACCATTTGATGAGTCAACATTATTTATATTTGGTTGGTATGTTTATATCAACTAGAATCTTCTAATTCATGGTATAGGCAGAAAAAACAATAACCTGTAATTCAGAAATGAGCATGATACAAATAGCGTTCAGTGAAGTATATGGATTTAAACATTTGTGCAACACATGAGTGTTTATACAGTCCAGTCTGGTAATTATCACTTGTTGCCTTTTCATGGTGGCTACATTTGATATGTGAGCTACTGGCTGGAGGATTGGAGCCAGTGGGTTCTAGGTCACTGGGATTCTTTCATTAGGGATGACTAACTTTTGCTTGCCCTTTTATGTTACTTGGTTTTCTGATGGCTCTGTCATGTCTCTGCCTTCATAGAAGAATTGCAGGCTCACCTCTGTATCAGTTATCTGATGCTTTGGTCTTATGTGCTGCTAGCTAACATCCACTTTTTTTTTTTACATCTATATTGGAGTATAATTGCTTTACAATGGTGTGTTAGTTTCTGCTTTATAACAAAGTGAATCAGTTATACATATACATATGTTCCCGTATCTCTTCCCTCTTGGCGTCTCCCTCCCTCCCACCGTCCCTATCCCCCAACTCCAGGCGGTCAAAAGCACCTAGCTGATATCCCTGTGCTATGCGGCTGCTTCCCACTAGCTATCTGCCTTACGTTTGGTAGTGTATATATATGTCCATGCCTCTCTCTCGCTTTGTCACAGCTTACCCTTCCACTTTTTTTTTTTAATTAATTCATTTATTTATTTTGGGCTGCGTTGGGTCTTCGTTGCTGCGCACAGGCTTTTTCTAGTTCAGGCGAGCGGGGACTACTCTTCGTTGCAGTGTGTGCCTTCTCATTGCGGTGGCTTCTCTTGTTGCGGAACATGGGCTCTAGGCGCACGGGCTTCAGTAGTTGTGGCGCACAGGCTTAGTTGCTCTGCGGCATGTGAGATCTTCCCGGACCAGGGCTTGAACCTCTGTCCCCTGAATTGGCAGGCGGATTCTTAACCACTGCGCCACCAGGGAAGTCCAACATCCACGTTTTTCTTTCATGGTATTTTCATGGTTATTTTAACTGATTAAATGGGTCTTTTATCCAAGAGGTATTTTGATTTCTTTGAATGAACGAATATATGTTGGGGAAATTTTTTAAGTGATGTAACCACCTACTTGCTCACATGTGCCCGGTCTCTAGTCCCTGGTATGGCACTCACTTGTGTATAGAGAATATTCAGTATTCTTCAATAGACATATTTGTGCTGGGCTCCAGCTTCATCCCAAATAATCTAAATCCATGGAGCCAGGATCAGACACTGCATTTAAACAAACTCTCCAGAGATTTTTAAACTACTTACAAGAGAATCACCATCCCAAGTCTTGTGAAAGAATTAATATGTCTAGCAGTCTTTAATGCTTTATTTACTCCAGGGATTGCAAACTTGCACCAAGGTGGAAATATTTCTATCTTTGAGAGCTGCACTTCATCCTATGGGCAGGGTGTTGTTTTCATTTTCATGAGGGGTGATGTGACAGTCTGATGTTAATTACTGCTCCTCACACTCAGTTAGATTTTGTAGCTGCCATATAATTTGAGAGTAGCTCTGACACCAACTTATGAATTTCATTACATTTGCAAAGGTGCTCTGCCTCTCTACATGTTTTATAATCAATGGATTCTTCATTATTTTTATTATTTTACATAGGTAATACCTATGTACCAATGTTTTTGTGCAGTTCTTCATGTCTTCCAGCCTTCTCTGATAGTAATTGGATCCATTACTAAAATCCTTTTAGATTTAGGATTGTAATAAACAGAAGAGTATTTATTGGAACATGTATTAATAGCTAATTAAATAGCCAGTGAATAGAGATTGCCAATAAAAAGATACCAGGTAGAAATTTGAAAAAATAAAAAATTTCTATAAAGTTTACATTATTAAGCAAAATACTAAACAGGATTACATAAACCTCTTGTAAAACATTTAAATTAGAGGATAAAATCATTCATGATCCCAAACAATTTCTCATATTAAAAGAGAATTTCAGGGCTTCCCTGGTGGCGCAGTGGTTAAGAGTCTGCCTACCGATGCAGGGGACACGTGTTCGTGCCCCGGTCTGGGAAGATCCCACATGCCGTGGAGCGGCTGGGCCCGTGAGCCATGGCCGCTGAGCCTGCACATCCGGAGCCTGTGCTCCGGAACGGGAGAGGCCACAACGGTGAGAGGCCCGCATACCGCAAAAAAAACAAAAACAAAAAAAAGAATTTCAGCATCATTTTAATCAATATCTTCTGAAATATTTGTTTACAGCTAGTTAAAAACTTAAAGAGGAACTAAAAGCTGTAGTGTTTCAAAATGCTGCTGATTGTTAATTGGAAATTAGATAAAATCTGAAATCATAATGTTTAAATAAAAAACATTTACATAAACAGTTTCTAAATTTTCACTTTACCAGCTAAGAAGCTAAACTTATATGATTATCAGGTTCAGTACTGAATACCTGAGAAAGCTCCCTCTAAAGAAGCTGGCTTCTGCTGGTTTTAACATCTGTTTTATCCAACTCTACCCTGTTTGGTAACTCTGAGAAGGTATAGCTACACATGCGTAGATGGGCCTTTATTTCCTCAGCAATCCTGATAAGTGTACACAGGTACTTTGACCATGGTCCATAGCAAAATATGCACAACCACAAACTGAGATTCCCTCTGATCGTTGCTCCAAGCCTCCCACTTTTCCAGTTTATCTCAGCATCACCTCACCTACTCTCTCCACTGGGGAGGTGGTGCTAAATAATATCAGGGCTGAGAATAAGTGTCGTAAGGAGGGTCGGGTCTGATGGTAGGGACAGCCCTCTGGGCTGCAGTGGTCAGCCTGCCCAGCCCCTCTGACCAGGTCCCAGGCTGTCTACCACACACACATCTGCAAGCTACCAGCAGATTTGACTTTTTCAGCTGCACTGCAAGACAAGACTGACTTTGAATCTAACACATCCTTCTACTTTGGAGCGCCCCAAATATATTTCTGGACTTGAGCTCCACTAGAGAAGCTATCTGCTTCAGGTTAATACCGCCTCCAGTGCACAGAATACAATTTGGACAATGCAGAACAACATTTAAAATCATTTCACATAAAGTTTCCCCACCCACAACTTCACTGTAAACCTTTCAGTATGATGTTTTCATGAGAACCCGAATTTTAAAATCCTGCCAAATGGTCCACTCTGATTTTTGGTTCACTCCACAGGGAGCTTAAGGACATGTAAATATCATAGACATGTCTTTCTTTTCCTTTTATCACCTTGTAAAATCTTTCTATTACATATATAATTTTACCTATAATCATAACAATTTCCATGAAAAGAATTCTCTACTCACAGCCTTTGTTTATTTATGCTTATACACCTTTTCATCTTTTCCCTTTATGATTAGGCTCTATAAATGAAAGAATCTGAACAGATTTGAAAACTAGTTATTATAGCAGCAATTTGTAACCGTTAAGTTGGGTTTTGTCCACACTTTTAATGTATTCTTTTGTAGTCCTATTTGAGAGTTTATATGTATCTCATTACACTATTTATAAACAGTTAAAAGTCACACTTGCATAACTATTAACATGTTCTATATTAACAGCCCCCTTTTTCCTATCTTCAAACCTCAATTATCTGTTTTTAGAGATACAGCTTGTCTCTATTGATTTTAGTCTTTGATGATCAGCTTGCTATTATCAGGCCACTCTTTTTTTTTTTGCGGTTCGTGGGCCTCTCACTGCTGCGGCCTCTCCCACTGCGGAGCGCAGGCTCCGGACGCGCAGGCTCAGCGGCCATGGCTCACGGGCCCAGCTGCTCCGCGGCATGTGGGATCCTCCCGGACCCGGGGCACGGACCGATGTCCCCTGCATCGGCAGGCGGACTCTCAACCACTGCGCCACCAGGGAAGCCCTATCAGGCCACTCTTTAACAATGGACATTTTCTTGAGGCTGTTCTTGCCCATTTCAACATTATTACAGGGAAAAATTGTTTTTATTCTCTTTGTTTTTACTTTTTTGGAGTGTTGGTGCATATGGTTAATTATGATACCGCTCAGTTCATGGCACTTAACATCGCCGGGCAGAAGGGAGGCCCTCTCTTTTTTTTTTAATTCCCTTTTATCTTCCCTACTCTCATCTCCTCTTCTGCCGTTGGAAATCATTCTTATGTATTGAATGAATATCCTTTTGGTTTATATGGGTTTTAAGTAGCTCTTATTACCTTGGATGCCTGTAATTTTAATTTATATAAGTGATTTTGTCTTACACATCTCATTGTGTCTCTTAACGTTTTCCCTCTGTGCTGTGTTTCTCATTTCTATCCAGGTTACTATGTGTAGATCCAGTCCATCACTTCTAACTGTTGCAGAGTTCCCCATGCTGGACACTAACCACACTTTGTCCTAGTTCCTTTACTGGGATTCCATTCCCCTGTTTCCTTATATGCAATGAGCAGTTTGAAAATATGCAACCTAGGGAATTGCTGAAAGAGTTACTGTTTCCCTGAAAGATGCCGTAGGCCAATCCCAAGAAAGTCCTGCTGCCTTTCAGGAAGGTCCTGGTTCTCTTTGATGAAACACAGTGGTCCAGTCTGTCATCACCCCCATCACCTGGCATTGTGAAGTTCTCCTAAGTGCCAGGCGCTATGCTTGGTGCTATCCCTGCACTGACTGACAGCAGCCCTGTGAGTAGGTGCCACTGGCATCACTTTAGAGATTAGGAAACTGAGGCCCACAGAGGTGAAATCAGATCCTCTGTGTT